AAGAGTGCACGATTTATAAATCTTATGTCAAGTGAGAAATGAATCATCATTCTAAGATAAATATTCAAAAGGTTATATGCACTTTTAGTATGAAGTGCAACTGAAATACCTGAAACCAGTACATAAATAAATATAAGTCAGTCTAGATATCCATTGAATAAAGATTTGAGTATATTTTCAGGTGCCTCCATCACATCACATGAGCCCACCTCGCAGCGACCAGCATTTGGTATCAAGTCCACCTCCTGGGGGCTCTGTAGGTGCAGGGTCTCCTGGTGGTCCCACACTACCTGTACAGCAGCAACAACCTCAGCAGCAGCAGCAGCAACCAGGATCTGGCACTCTGCGCTCAGGTAACACGTGCATCCGCCATGGCTGCCCCAATGCAGCAATTGCCAACTCAGAATGGGAGGATGAATACTGCAGCAATGAATGTGTAGTCAGCCATTGCAGGTCAGATTCCACTTCATTTCCTTAACAGCTAGTGTAATGTTTAATCCTTCAGATTTGTAGGGAGCACTGAAGAATAAAGTCACAGTAAATGAAAAATTATGTTATAGACAATATAGATCTTTTGTGTTGTACTGAAACCATGAAAACTTAATGTCATAAATGTTGATTATATAGTAAAGAGGAAAGCTGTAAATGAGGTACCATGGTAACATGAGGTAAGGCATAGGTTGAGAATCAGTTGATATTTTGGTATATGATATTGTTTGGTGACCACAAGAGAAGGAAGTCACAGAAAATTACAGGTTTGTGTGTGATATGTAATGTGCGGTATTAGTGGAAAAGTTAAAAATGGGTTGGCGTGTGCTACCATTGATTTGTGGGCAGGTTTATATGTAAAATGAAAACTGACATAATAACAGACAAGTGGAAAATGCTTTTCCTTTTCGGTGGGGTTAGTGTGGTATATGGTGCAGGAAAATCAGTGGATGTGGGAGGAGGGAAGTGATAATGCAGGTGTGTGCAGTGGTGATGTATTCCAGATACAGCAGGTGTGTGTGTTGTTGCATTATGCAGGATAGGTAAGGTTTGATGAAGTTATTTTTTGTATGGTAGGTTAATTGAGTGAGACAAAGAAATGGAGCTAATCCGTTGTTGTTAGGAAAACTGGTTTGGAAGAAGGTGAGGGGGAGGGCACATTTAATACTTCTAAATGTACTTTGTAAAGAATGCGTGAGGATACTCTGTGTATTCCAGTACAGGGAACACTTTTCTGGTTTGTTTTTGTTACAGTTATCATATTTAATTATACTTTAATGGCAAGTTCTGTGTATTATTAAATAGCAGTAAACTATCCAAGGGTTAGAATTTAGTCTTAATATTGTTTATTGCTTTAATCTGCTTCATACAGCTCTCCTGGTTATTCACAATTCTTTTCTCCTAATAATGAACTCCAGTTTCTCTGCAAATTGTAGGAAATATATGGAGCTACATTTTAAAGTATTTTCTAATAAATAAATGATAGATAAATTGTGTTTTTAACATCTGGATCATTGTTCCATTTCAGATTGTGCATAATTTTTATTTTGTGCAATTTGTGATTCATGCCGTGCCATTTAGTTTTGAAATTTGTCCCATTCACTTCCTATAGCACCCCCAGTTGCAACTACATGTTTATACCTGCAGTAATATGATAAATATGTATATGGTCAGTATGGGATATTTTAAGTGTCTTTAAGTTAAGAATGCAGAAGAAAAAAAACATGAGGGAGAAAGCTCAACATTAATGTCATATACCATAGGATCATGGAAACCAACATGTGTAGGTGGTTGTTTCACATGGAATATGTTATTTTAAAGTTTGTGAATCACAAATTGTCCTAAAATTTCAGTGAACAATTTCAAAGCAAGCCACAGAAATGCAGTTCAGTACTCTATCTGCAGTAAGAGAAACACACATTGTTTGTCATGTTCTTCAAAACATGTCATCTAGTAATTAAATTTCACTGAAATTTCAAAGAAATTACATTGATGCCTTGAAGTAATAAATTTGTTCTTACTGCTTAACTTTCATTTTCAGAGATGTCTTCAGTTCCTGGGTGGCATCCAATCAAAATTCAACACAGAACTTCTCAACTGTAAAATAAGGGTGTTAATCTGATACAAGCAAAAGAGCAAGCAATTGAGCACATTGTAGGGCATAAGCTGATGGTGGGTGGGTAGGGTCATGTGAGTACCATAGACCAGAAGCCTACATTTAAAGAGTGATAAATGATGGGACATTTTGTTGTGGATTTGTGTGTGCTGTGGGTAACCAATGCAACAAAAAATTGAGGTTGTTGAGGAGAAACTTATCATCGTTGTTATACTGGAAGAATACTTGTAAATGTATATATAATTATAAATTTACTTGGTATACTTAAAATAATATAGGCACAAAATGGTGTGCCCAGTATATTGAAATAATAGAGTACCTTATTGACTGATAAATGGTGAATGATTTTATCCTCATTAAAATTTTCTGGGGCAGTCCAGGAGAAAAGCAAGTATTATCATGAAACAAAATATGGAGTATATTATATAAATATCTCAAACCTTGTATACTTCTACGGGCAGCAAAGTCTGCTATCCTTTGTTGCATGTTTGGCTCTTTTAATGAATGTAGTAATAAGAATACCTCTACCCATTTAACTATGGTATATTATTAAAATATCCTTTGAAGAAATAGTATTTTCCCCACTCATATAAATGTTGCTGTTGATTTTCTGGAGTCTGTAAGAAATCACTAATACTAATATGTATCATAGCTGTGGAAATGTGATGAGGGGCTTTCCCCACAAGAACCTGTTCCTTGATTAGTGTGCACCTTTCCTCATTTCTTAGAGAGGAAAAGTTAATAAAATGATGATGACACAACAATGACAGTGGAAGGCTTATTTTTATATCATATCACCAACAGTAAAGTAAAACAAAAATGTGGTACTTTCAAAATTTTGGCAGCACTCATATAAAGGAAGACACAGCTGGAGAGGTATTCCTGCCTCACTCCCAAGTTCTACTGGAGGTTGTGATTCCTTGCATTACAAGACAGAAGTTGTTGGTGAAAAGATCAAAATACAGGCAGAAATGGGGATGTTGTCAAGCATGTGCTGATGGCCTGAGGGCCTGCTCAAATGTTGCTCTGATTCTCAGTTACATGAACACAAATTAACATTTGAAACTTTTAAATTTTGGTGTGGTGGTTCAGAGATAAAGGAGTTATATTTTACTTCTCTTCAAGCTCAGAAAAGTGGACTGTACTGCAAGTTTTTAAAAGTTTAAGTTATTGTGTTGTTCTTTAGTTCTGTATCTCCTTGCACTTTATCTGTAGAGTCTCAAAAGTTACTAATAAGAAATTAAGTACTATTTAATTTTAATTTGTGACTGTAGGTTTTTTCTCCTGTGGAGTAAAAACCTTCTTTCTAAATCATAAGATATTTCAGCAGGCCAGAGTGAATGTATTATGTAATTCACCAATTGGACCAACATATAAAATTTGTTTTCTTGTTACTTCAAGTACTCTTATAGTTCAAAGTACAAAGTATTTCGATTTCATTTAAATTTTAATTCCTTTCTTTCTTTAGTAAATTTAAATAGGATAGCAGTTAGAAAATGCTCAGTAACTGTTATATGTTATCATAAATATGGGTAGTTATCACAATTTTTTCATCCAAGATAATATGAAATCTGTTTTCAGTCTTTTCAGAAGTTTTACATCAGTATAAACTGGCTGTTAAAGAATTATACAACATAAAATACATATTTTCCGAATTCTCTTGGTTATGTCCTGTTCTTATATGAAACACAATTTTCATAGCTGCATGTAACACTTTAAAGAGGAAATCTTCTGAAATCCATATTATTTGGTTGTTGCTGTATGTTAACAGTAAATTAAGAGTGTCAACGTAACCTGAAGGCAAACTTCACTGATGTAAATATGGTGAGAAGCTACTCAAAGTTTTTTATATGGGTCTTCTAACTGCTGTACTGTTAAAACACTTTATACTTGCTTCAAGTGTGACTATTGGTCATGATGCTGGTCTTTATTATGATCAAATGATGTGGGGCTACTTGCTTGCAACTCTTTCATCTTGTTTCCACTTACTCACTGGGAGACTGACAATATCTAGACTAGTTCCTGTGCACTGTTATGTTACTTTTTGTAGTTTCCATTCTTTCTCCCTCTGTATGTTTAAAACTGTACTGTGGTGAAGGGTGTTGCATTTGGTTGTGGGTTCTCTGAAATGGAGTTGTTTTTTGCAGGCAGGTAGATAAGGTGATTATTGCAAATATGGACCATCTTGCTTTGCTGAAAGAAGTCTCATTGCACATTATTCATTATTTGTGCAATATGAGACACGTTTATTTTTTTCTTATTTTCCTTCCATCATGTTCCTCATTTTTGCAAAGCAGAGTTTTCGCTTCGCACACTTAGCAATATATATTCAGTGGTTTGTGAAATGGTAACCAAACTACAATCACAAAAAAAAAAAATATATATATATTAAATTTGAGGAAATACTAGCTGTAAATGAACTCCAAATATTAGATCTCTCTAGTGTACAGTCAAATTGTTATTATGTAAAGTGTAAACCCTACCCTGGTTTTATAAGTGTATTTTCGTTTTTATGATGTGCATATGTGATCTTGAAACATTTTGATGATCATCTTTTACAGCTGAGGTCATTTCTTCTGTGTGCAAATCCTAATAAATGGATTGTATGAAAGCTGTTTGATTTCTTACCTGATTATCCAGTGTATCTAAAATAAGTAAGAGTTGGAGTTATTGACAGCTCCTCCTATGCAGATGGGTGTATGTAGATGTGGTACAGTGCCCACTGAATGTAATTGTAAATGCATAAATAAATCGTAATAAATAAAACTTTGTGTGGTTTTAAGTTGTTTACAAAATTTAATATTTGCCCTCTGATAATCCTATGAATTTCCAAGGTCCCCTGCTCTCACATATGCCATACACTGTTCATGAAGTCATAAAGACCAAACTGAATTATGATAGCATTCAGATGTTACTTGCATTGCTAAAGTCTAGGTTAGTCTCTACATTGTGGTGTCACTGACATTGACATTTATTGAGTCTGTTGGATACAGTTTAAAATGTCAGACATGACTCCCTGGTCTTTTGTCCGCTTTTGCATATATTTACATTCTTTTAACCAATATGGTGTCAGTAACTGCAGTGATCTCTCTTTTTGGGAGCTGTATCATATGTGATAAAGTTTAAATTTAATTTTATGGTCATTGTACCCCATCTAGTGTATGAACCATAGACCTAATGGAATAGTAAGACTGAATTATGACATGCAATGCAGTCATCATCATAGAGCCTCACACCATGAGCTTGAACAACATTTGTGTAAATCAGAAGCAGAGTTACATATGTACTGATACCAGCACTAATTATAATAACATCCCAAGACTTAGATCATGATCATAAAATGGGCAATAAACATTGAGACAGCAAGACATTGTGCCGGGATTCTGCAAATTGATGGATTGACTGAGGGTGGGGGGAACCAAAGGAGTCAGATAACACTAAATGGATGTCTGGTTACCGGACCATGGATATCCTATGGAGCGAGTCTCAGGTTTAATAAAACAGTACAGTTGGAGCAAAGCTGGGCTGAACAATAGAGAGGGAGACTATGCTTCTGACAGACCAAGAATGAGAAGATAGGATGTAGAAGGCCATATGTGTAGGCGTCTTAATCCTTATTTACGCAAGTAAGTGTAAGAAGGCTCAGCTCTGATTTAGCCATGATCAGGGAATCCGACAGACTGTTAGTTTTAGGAAACATTAGACACACCAGGAACTGAGTAGGCAGTAAAAGAGACCTCTAGGATGTTGACAATTTTGTATGAGTATATATTTCATGTAATATGACTGTACATAGGAATACTGAAGTTCCTCAGCTGTTATTGGTTCCCAGACCCTCGCCTGATTCTAACTCCAGTCCCCACTTGTCAGGCCAAGGTTCTTTCTTGACTGTCAGTCTCCTGTTACTCTAACCCGTTGTCCTACATAAGCTATCAAATGCGGGCAGTGCAGGAGGCGCGGCTGACACGGAAGTATTAAAGTGGCTGTTTGTGTGGCAGATAAAGAGTGTTCAAAATTAACAGATTAAAGGAAGCAAATAAAATTTCAATGGTTGCAGGACCCAAACAAAACGAATATGGATAATCTGTGTAATGTAAGACGTGAAGTTAGAATATTTAGGAATAACAAAAGGAAATACCTGAAGGGCAAAATTATTGAGCTTGAGACAAATAGTAAGGACAAAAATATACAGAGGCATAAATAACTTTAAGGATATCAGCTTCAGACTAATTTGGTAAAGGATAATAATGGAAACTTGCTTGCAGATCCAAGCAAAATTTTGAATAGGTGGAAAAATTTCTTTAATCATATCTTAAATGTTCATGAGACTGATGATGTTAGACAGATTAAAATACATACAGCTGAACTGTTAGTACCTGAACCTAGCTTAGATGAAGTTGAACTAGCCATTGGGAAGTCAAAAAGTTATAAATCTCCAGGTATTGATGAAATTCTAGCAGAATCAATTAAAGCAGGTGGCAAGACGTTTCATATGAAGACCTAAAAACTTACTCAGTTAATTTGGGATAAGGAAGATATTTTGTCTGCAATGCCTTGAGATCTATTGGGACGAGTTGAAATACCATTAGCATACAGCACAGGGTCATGTCATGTCAGTCAGCACCATTTTGTGGTTACAGTTTTTGAAATAATCACGCATGCTGGATTTTGCTCCTACATTTTAGAAATTTTTCTCAACTTCCAGTAAAGGTAAGACCTATTCATTATTCATATCCACTTTGTTGAATGATGCATGTTACAAGGCGTTTCCTTGAAAGCCTTAAACACAACATATTTATTTTCAAGATGTAATTTTTGGTGGGACAATCTTAATTTTAAAGAGTATACTCGGGGCAGGATAGGGGTATGGTAGAATGGGGTACCCCGTTTTTCCCCGAGTAGACAAGAGGATCAAAATGACAAGTGCCTGTATTGTGGCGATGTCTATTCATAGTCTATTGAAGGGTGGATCCGGTATTCGTTTTGCTTGAAATGGGCCCATAACTCATGTGCAGGTGTTGATAGTCACGTTGATGAAGAGACGCACATGTGTGCTGTCTGTGTTAGGCCTAAGTTGATTTCAAATGTGTAAAGTTTCTACATTTTACATTGTAAACTTTATCATTTTTATATCTTACGTCATAATTATTAGATACAATGTGTTTTATTACAACTTTTTCAAACATATAAGAACCATACCCCATCTTGCCCTGGGCAAGGGGCAAAATGGGGCAAGTTACATTTTCGTAAAGAAATTCATACTTACAAAAAGTGTAACTCTTACAATTATAAATTTAAAATAGACAAAAAATCCACACAAGGTTCCTTCATGTGTTTGTCTTTGTTATTGTCCCTTCCACATGCTTCCACATATCAAGTTCCCCGGTCTGCCCTGCACTCCCCTACATATGTCAGTTTGTGTATACACTTTGCTATAGAAAATTTTAAATGGACAAGGAACACATGTAATAAGAAAATACTTAAAACTCTTTAGTGTTCAGTTTATCCAGGTTAAAGAGTATGTTAATTTTATTCTTTCCTAATTCATATTTCATCTAATATTTATTTTATAAAATTGCTATATAAAGTAAGATTAGTTTATCACATTAGGAATATAGTTTAGTAGCAAATCTACTGCAGCAAAATTACATATGAATGTGTAGTTGCTTTTTCTTCTGCTTCTAGTTTCCTTTCTGCTTGTATCTTTTCTAGTTTTTGTGCTTCTAATTGTTTCATGTATGCTAGGAAGCAAGTCCAAAGTAGACTGCACATGCCAACATATGGAACGCGGTTCTTCTCTGACACAACTGTGTAGTTTATTAGTTGCAGAACTGGCCACACACATGCTCCAACCTGCGGAAAATATAGAAATTGTTATGCTCATTGTGTTAGAAATTGACTTTTTGTATGATAAGACTTTTGGACAGTAAGTAAAATAAATATTATACAATTGCTTAATAATGAATCTTGCATTGTGAAGATAGCCTTAGATCTTGTACAAAGAACATTGAAAGCTTCCACCATATGTATTTTATGTACTGAAATGCGGCATCAAATTCTCTTCAAACTGAGATAAACAAGAGGATTTCTGTCTGCTGGGTTGTTGCGCTGTGTAGTCTGGTCGATTTTTACCAACGTTTCAGAGGTCATACTGCCTCCGTCATCAGGGCGCCCTGATGACGGAGGCAGTATGACCTCTGAAACGTTGGTTGACATCGACCAGACTACACAGCACAATAACCCAGAAGACAGAAATCTTCATACTCATCGCCCTGATGATGGAGGCAGTATGACCTCTGAAACGTTGGTTGACATCGACCAGACTACACAGCACAATAACCCAGAAGACAGAAATCTTCATACTCATCGCCCTGATGATGGAGGCAGTATGACCTCTGAAACGTTGGTTGACATCGACCAGACTACACAGCACAATAACCCAGAAGACAGAAATCTTCATACTCATCGCCCTGATGATGGAGGCAGTATGACCTCTGAAACGTTGGTTGACATCGACCAGACTACACAGCACAATAACCCAGAAGACAGAAATCTTCATACTCATCGCCCTGATGATGGAGGCAGTATGACCTCTGAAACGTTGGTTGACATCGACCAGACTACACAGCACAATAACCCAGAAGACAGAAATCTTCATACTCATCGCCCTGATGATGGAGGCAGTATGACCTCTGAAACGTTGGTTGACATCGACCAGACTACACAGCACAATAACCCAGAAGACAGAAATCTTCATACTCATGGCTGTGAAAACCTCAAATCTGACATGAGATAAACAAGTTTCTCTATACTGACTACTGAAACAGTATTATTGTAAATTACCTTAGACATCATTGTTCTCCAGTTTTCACATGCATGTGGTATTAAACACTTTAACACCTAAGACAGCAATGAATGGGTTAATCATTTCTATCTTAGCTAAAAGTGTTTTTATTAAAAATAACTTAAACTTCAATTATACAAGCAATTCGAAGGGTGAAGAAAACAGCCACTCATATGCTATATGTTAAGATACCTGATATGTTGGGAAAAACTTGACTCGGACTTCTGCTGAAGCCTGTCCAATTGATTTTCCTTCCAGTAATGTCATTATAAAAAAGAAACACACCATAGCAAAAGGAGTGTAAGAAATTTGTTCAACAAGTGCCTGAAAAGAATTATATCTGATTAATACAATCTGCATAGAGGAATAAAACGTTTTATGTGTAGTAAGATAGTTTATCAAGCGTTATCAATAGAAAATGTAGCTAAGTCAATGTGGAAAGATACAACAGCTGTTCAATGAATGATTGTTTGTAAAATGTTGGAAGGCTTGAGGGAACTTTCATTTATTGTGGTTGGTAGTACTGACTAGTATGAGTCAGCATCTGCAGTTACAAGTTTCTATATGTGCAGTTGTGCTTATGCTGTGACCTTCATTTCAAGCTATGGCTGTCTCGCCGCTGGTGTAACATGTCTGTCATGATGGATATTAAGCTAAACAAGGCGCAGTCTTAAATTTTGTTCGTCTTAAAGAAAACATAAAGTGAAGCATCCAATTTGTTAAAAGAGGCTTATGGGGAAGAGGTTTTGAGTCAGTCAACAATACCAGACCACATGTTACCAACATTGTCATTTGTTTTGACAAGTAAAGACATTCACTGCTTCCCCCACATTCCCTACAGCTCAGATCTAGTGCCATGTGACTAACTAACTAGATGGCTTAGGGAACCCCCTCCAACGGTCCCTGTCCTGGGCCAGCAAACTCCAGTCGCCTTCAAATCCTTTCTCCCATAGATCCTGTTTCATACTAATCTCCCATCTACGTCTAGGTCTCAGCAGTGGTAGCCTTCCTTCAGGCTTCCCTACCAATACCCAGTGCACACCTCCTCCCCATCCATGCACACCACATGCCCTTCTCATATCATTCTTCTTGACATAATCTTTCTGACAATATTGGGGGAGAAGTAAAAAATTTTAAGCTCATTATTATGCAGTTTTCTCCATGCCTCATCATTTTCTCTCCTCAGCTCAAATATCCTCCTCAACACCATATTCCCAAACACCTGCAATCTATGTTCCTCCCTCAGAGTGAAAGGCCATGTTTTGCACCCATACAAAACAACAACAAATTATTGTTTTGTATCATTTAATCTTGAAATCAAAAGGAAAGACAAAATATTTTGAACTGAAAAGTAGCAAGCATTTCCAGAATTTGGTCTCCTAATTTCCTCATGAATAACATTTTGATCTATTATTGTTGTTCCCAAATATTTGAACTTTGTCACACTTTCATAGGATTTATAAATCACTCTAATACGATTTTGCCCCCCTGTCTGCTGACGGGATACAAACATGTTTAGTTTCTTCTGAATTCATTTCTAAGCCTACATTTCTATTAGCTTGTAGTAAAACTTCTGTATTCCTATTTATTGTTTTTATATCCTCACCCAATAAATTAACATCATCAGCATATGCCACTAGCTGACATGTCCCATTCAATTGTAAACCCTCCTGCCTACCTTGGACCTTCCTGATGGCGTATTCTAGCGCAAAGTTAAAGAGCATTGGAGATAAAGCATCTCCTTGTTTTAGACTGTTCTTGATGGAAAATTAATCAGATAAGTATTTACCTATACGAATTTGGCTACAAATTTTATTTAAGCACATTTTTATTAGACTCACTAGCTTCTTTGGTATACCAAATTCAATTATACTGTTGTATAACAGTTCTCTCTTAACAGAGTCATAGGTTTTTCCAAAATCTCTAAATAATTGATGTAATGTCCCACTGTACACCTATTTTTTTCTCTAGTATCTAACGGATACAGAAAATCTGAACAATTGTTAATCTGTTTCGTCTGAACCCATACTGATGATCCCCAATACTTTCATTCATATACGGATTTATTCTCACCAGAAGAATGTTTGATAGAATTTTGTAAGAAGTTGATAGTACAAAAATTCCTTTGTAATTACCTCACTCAGTCTTGTCCCCCTTCTTATGAATAGGAATAATTATGGATTCCTCCACTGTTGTGGCATTTCTTCCTTATTCCAAATTAAATGAGAAGGGTATGGATCCTCATATGCAATGTTTTGCCACCTGCTTTAATTAATTATGCTGGAATTTCATCAATACCTGGAGATTTATAACTCTTAAACTTTTCAATGGCTAGTTCAGCTTCATGTAATTAGTCTGAGGGTGACATCCTTTCTTAAAATAATTTATTCCTCTGTACATATCTGATATTTTTGTCCTTACTGTTTGTTTCACTCTCGATAATTTTGCCTGTCAAATATTCCCTTTTCTTGTTCCTAATGTTTCTACTAGGTTCACATCTCACGTTACATAGATTGTTCGTATTCGTTTTGTTTGGGTCCTGCAACCACTGAAATTTTGTTTGCTTTCTTTGGTCTTGAACATGGTTTATTTTGATTTGACATTTGGCTGTAATTTTGATACAGTCTTTGACATTTTCTGTCTCTAATATTTGAAACCTATTCAAAATTTCAACTTGATATTGCTTCTTTACCTTCCACTCATTTAATTTTTTCAAATCATATACGCATATATCTGTATTAAAATTGTGCTTAGTTTGTCTACTTACTGAAAGCCTGTGCCTCACTTTTGCCACCACCAGATAATGATCAGTGTCGCAATCTGCTCCTCTGAATGATCTCACATCAATTATCTTACATGTCTGCCTTCTGTTATCTACCAAAATATGATCTGTTTGATTGTGTGTGATACCATCTGGAGAAGTCAAGTGTATTTATGAATATCATGATGTGGGAATTTTATAAACTTTACAGTTAGATCTTTTGACATAGCAAAGTTTGTTACTCTCATATCATTGTCATTGCATATTTCATGTAGACTCTCATTACCTATTGTTGGATTGAAAATGTCCTCTCTCTCATTTTTTGCATTGAAATCTCCTAGCAGAATTTTCATGTGATACTTGCCAAATGTGTCAAATACTGATTATACTTCTTCATAACCGCTGTCCTTGATACCATCACTTTTTTTCTCAGTTGGGGCATGAACATTAAGAACAATGATGTCGCACCAACATCCTTCCAAAATTCTGTAAGACAACCAGTCACTAACAAATTCTACTCTCTTAACTGCTGCCTTAATTCTGCTATGAACAAAACCCCCATCCCTAACTGATGATGTCATTCCCCTTTCCATAGAAAAATGTGAAATTGTCTACTGAGATCATGCCCTCCCCCTCCCATTGCACTTCCTGCACTGCCACAAAGTAACTTATAATTCTCTAATTCCATACTAACTGTTTTCAGTGCCCCAGCCTTATAGAGACTCCTAATGTTCCAAGTTCCAAATCTCATATCCTTTTTAATTGCCTTGGTTGTGTCAAAGAGTCCATCTGGTTCCAAGGTGTGGCATAATTTTCATAACAATACAGTTTTTAAGGTGAAAGTTTGTTAGCCTCACACACACCCCTCAAGCTGAAGGACCACTCTTTGATGGCTGTCCATGACTGCTTATTCAATATATTTGCAGCTAACCTCCATAACTGGAGGCTGTTCCTCCATCCGCAACCTGAGGATGTGCCATGCTGTGGTGACAGGGATCCACCTGACATGGCTACCGCCTTGTGATTTTTTTTATTTCCTGCACAAAAAAAGGAAGCTTCGAGGACAGTTCTTCAAGACCACAGCTGCTGCAGTCAAAGCTGCAAGGGCGATTTTAAAGATGTCCAAAAATTGCCTAAACCATGTTTTTGATGAGTGGCAGAATTGCTGGGATAAGTGTTCAGGAAGCACTTGTAATGATTCAGAATAAAGGAGGCATGTTTTTTTTTTAAAAAAACAACAACATTGTCTTTACTGAACAGCCCTCATAAATAACGGCTGAGACATACTCATGAATTTTGATACTGTGAGTCAAATATTTTCTATCATCAGTAAATCTTAAGTCCAGGGTTGGTAAAAGCCGACTCAGCCATGTATCAACTTCCTATGACTATGGGACTTACTTATTTTAAAAGATAACTAATTCTCTGATACTGATAGAAAAGTGTTTCCTTAGACCTTAGTTTGGGTCAGTTCAGACTTATTTTCCTAAAATTCCTCTGTATTCTTTCCTATCTCTACTCTGATCTTGTCCCTTCAGGTTTTTGAGATATACTGTAGGTTTTTCTGAAGCAATAAATGCTAGCGAGCATATACTACATGCAAGATATTTTGCATAAA